TAGTAGAGTCGAATCGTATTCTTTATTTTTACACAAGGAACTACGTCTCCTGTACTACGTATGAGAGTTTATACGTATGTCATAAAGTTTAAAAACTCTTTTGAGAGTTTCTTCTTTACTAGCTTCCTTTTTTGAAGCAAGTCTGAGAAAACCCAGTTTTGACAGATTTTGTGTGATTGTTTGTACTTTGGAGACTTCAAATTTATTTATTTTGATTGAAACATGTACTGGATGGGTGGGAAATCTGTTTTGAATGTTTGTATGAAATATATTTCCAAAATACATACTTCAAGTACATCAGCATGCATAATTGAAGCAAGGCTAGACATGCCCTCCGGAAGAGACAGCAACAGGTTTGTTGACAGACAGCACCAAAAATTTGTCATATCACTCAACTCCTTTTCAATTTTACAGATCCTCATATCCCCAATGCATGTGCTGGGTACATGATACCTTCATATGGAAGAGCCCTTTTTCTATCTACATTTCCTCTACATAGTCTACAAGGTATCCTTCTGATGTCCTCATCTATGAACAGTGTCTCTGCTCATCCAACAATACCAATTGGCTGAAGAAATGAAAATGACCACTTCTGCCATTCAGAAAAATTTCCTGGGCTGAAGCTGGAAACTCACAACACCAGAACAGAACTGTATTTCCAGCTAACAGGCACAATCATGCAGGAGTCAGAAACCACCATGGGTATTAAAACAAGTTCTGTTGATGAGTTTAGAAAGTATTTTATTATATCATTTTTGCGTTTTTAGGTGACTAGTGTGTTCATTTGACCAGGATGAGGATCAGTTTCATTCCATTCATGCATGTGATGGGAAATTACTGGGAGGATTCTGAATACATCTGCAACAACTTCAAGAATACCAGCATTCCCAGCAGGATCCTCAACACATTTGTATATTATGAATTCTGGATGTGTGTCTGGTTCTTTTATTTTAACATTTTAATTTACTCATTTGCTATTTGATTTGATGTTTTAATTGTGTTTATGTTTTGATGAAATCAAAAGCTTGTTTGCATGGCAATATATCTCCATTGCTCTGAACAGACCAGTTTGACAATGCTTGAGGGATGAAAAGGGAAAGTTGTATGCAGATGCTCTGGGACTGATTGAAACAATTTTATTCTCAGTCACCTCCTGTCACTTTCTCACTGACAATTGGTGAACATCCTTTAAAGAGCACCCAGCTTGACTGGTTGGTAAGATATTTCCAATCAATTGTGACCAATGAATGAGGTTTGCACACGTCTTCCAAAAGCATTGCTTGGATTGATTTCCTATTTGCTTCACTTTTTTACATAAGTTGTTTCCTCCTGTATGAGGCCATTTTTCACTTGTTGGAAAAAACTGTTATCAAAACATTCAAAATGACAAGAAATTCAAGTTTTTAATGCATTATTAAGCTATACCCATGAGCTTTACAGAGATGTACTTGCTCAAGATGAGCCATTTACCCAAGAATCCAACTGTCATGTTTCAATTGCAAGTTTGCAATGCTTGTTTTTATTTTCTTGAAAGCCTTGATTGATGACTTATAATGATGTTTTCAGTTGTTCTCAAAGAAAATATGAATTGGGCATGAAAAAGTCATATTCTTTCTACTCAAAAAATGAACTATCGTCATTTCTTCTGCTCAAAAATTTTATTGAATCATTAATGTGCAAAGGTTGCCAGATAAATAGTATAGTTTTTCGAATGCAGATATTCACACTTGGGAGCGATCAAAAATGACGAGATGCGGGTGACCTCTAGAGGTTGTAGAGAACAATCGAAACATGATCAGGTCTTCCCTTTTTTATAGATGTCGCCCTGTCACGCCTAAGATAAAGCTACTACTTTTCCAACTTCGGGTTTGATAAACTTTTTTTTGAAAGCTTGTGCGAGAACCATGATGAAGAATCAAGCTGGGATTTTTCAGCTGCTTCATTTTCATTCTTGATTTGTTTCTGTTTTTTTTTTACTTTTCCAAAGTAACACAGTTTTTGCGAAAATTCGGAGCCAATTCAATGCCTAATTTGTGCATTTTTTATGACAGCTTAGTATTTAGGAAAGTCTGAGTTTGTTATGACAATACCATTTTACAGTGTATGACTCAAATTTGAAAACAGCATTTTCAATGCATTTATTCAAACTGACTTTTCACCTGGTTTCCTTATTTTTCCACACACAAAATTTTGTCTATGATTACAGTATTCATTTGCTTTTCATGTTCCACCCAAAGACTCACATTGCAGATGTTAATGAGTCTTATGCTTCTATTTGAGTGCAAAAATCTTTGTATCCACTAAAGAGTAAAGTCACGAAAGACTTAAGAACTTCATTTTTAAAAAATTTGGTATCGATCACAAACTTCGTATAAATTATGGTTAATGATCACTAATTGTTTGACCCATTAGTCAACCACAGTATGAATCTGCAAAAAATGTGCATCTCAATGACTGAGAATTGTGGAAAATGAGCATAATTATGAGATATTCACATAATTGTGTGCAAAGTTTCAAGGAACAAGATGCTGCTATGAAGCAAAAATACCAATGATACCATCTCTTGTTAACCAAACTCACCAGCTTTATTCACAGCAGATAACATCATGTATGACTGATTTGAACATCTCTGATTACCATACATGGCATACAGGATCACTTGTACACTTCAACCACAGGGGACATCTTCCGATTTTTCAGCTAAAAATAAAATCCATTCAATTATCAGTTTGTAAGAACAATGAACTACATCTGGTCCCATCATTCCCATGTATGTTGGTCACTTGAAAAAAACCATCCATTTAATTCAAGTCGTTTGAAATACTTTCTTTTTCAAGAGATTCCTGTTGATTTCTATATGTTGTTCAAACAATTTTTCAGTATGTCCTTCTTTCACATGCAGATCCAATGAAATAACATGATGCAATGAAACTGCTTCCTTGGAAGCTTGAATTGGCTTGAAAATAGATTTTACATCACCAGAGAAACTTTAATACAGAGAAAAATAGTATGTGAATGACTAGGGAAAAGAGGGTGGAATGCTTTTCTTCAAGTGTTTTTCTTCAGCAGGTTGTTCCAAGTGCTGCAAATAAGTAGGGAGCCACCAAATTGAGGCTCATAAACTCAACACTTATCATTCCTCATCTGTCCGCTTCATGTCCTGAGCATTGGGATGCTTTGACAAGAAAAAACAAAACAAAAAGAGTTTTGACATCAGAGCAGGCAGGCCCCTTCTGGCCAACAGGCCACATCTGATCATCACACCCAGCCAGTGTGAGACCAGCACAGAGCAGCAGACAGAGATGGCTCATGATGGAGAAACCAGCTTTTGTGGAGTGCAGATGTGGGGAGCGTGTCAAGGAACAACCGTCACGAACCCACTCCTCCCCCCACCTACCCCTCTGTGACACACTCACACGCAAATAAGAACGGGGACACGAGGAAGTACACCTTCGGACAAGGTAGAAAAAAAAAAAAAGCTTGGATATTCAAGTGACTTAGGTTGCACAGCACGTGGGCTTTATTCATCTGTATTTTATCTCCTGAACAAAGCAAAAAAACTCATCTGCAATTTAATATTCAATCCATTGAATTCTCAGATTACTTCAAATAATGAGCAAACAACCAATGAAAAGAGACTCCACAACAACAAAAAACCGCAAATATAAGGTTGAAAGTCTGATTCAGGAAATACTGATCATCATTCAGCAGATTTGTTCACAGAGAGTAGCTGCAAAATATTTTACCAGTGAATGACGTAGTCTATTAAGGAAGTCTTCCATTTTTAAACTATTCTTTGGACTATATATACTCCACTTTATTACGTTTTATACAACAGTTCCCCCTTTTAGTAACAAAAAAATGACACCGACTTGTTCCACCTTTGATGTTTTCAGTTATTTTAGTGTTTTCAAAAATCCCAGTAATTTATACTGGAAAAAGATGAGCAACTCAATTTGGTAGTGCTTCAAGAAGTGCTTTAAAAGTATTTTCAAGAGATTGCTCTTCATTTTCCTGAAATTGGAGGAGCAAATGCTGAAAAATTGTTTTCTGATATGTTTTTATTGATCACAAATGAATTTGGCTCCACTTGAACCCTGATGGGATATAATTGACATGCCCCACAAAGCTTCTGAACTTTTTTCAATGAAAGATTCAAATTTTTGGTCGGGACACCACTGTATTTGTCAACATGGTTGTCAGAAGGAATTTGAATTTTTAATTCAAAATTTTAAACTTGAATTTATCATTTCTGTGCAGTAAAGTGTATGATCATTTTTACCTGAGTGAAAAATGAATCTTTGCAAAAGATCTACTCGATAGTTTTGAGAGTAAATAACAGTATATCAACAAAAAATAGAGGACGAACTTTGTAAACTGTCCGACAGTTTACGGTCTTTGACGGACTCTACATAAGATACCGGTAGTTTCGATACAAGTTGCAAAACTGTAATATTTGACCTCTCTCTAGTTTAATTTTTTTTTCTTAAATGAAAGTGAGGCTTTTCTGTTATGCAGAAGCAAAGGTTGAAAACCTCCAATTTTGTGGAGTTTCTTTGATTACTCTCTGAAAAGTGTTCCCCATGCCAAGAAGGAGATGAATTTGTGTGTGCAAATAGAGAAAAATGTGCTTGATTTGATTCAATTAACTCATTTAATTACTTGTAGACGATTTCTGTAAAGATTGTGTGGAACCAGTGAATGAAATGACAAAAGAGGCATTTCTTGAGCAATAACAGTGGGTAATGAGCCCTGTGGGCCAGATGAACCACTGCATCCCAGCTCACTACCAGGGCTTGGACACCCAGAACCCACATCAGCATCATCATCATTTTTCTAGATGAGCTATCAAAACTCTCATTTATTGTCATATAGTTGTTTTTTATCTCCTGCTTGAAACATTTGACAGGCTGTCAAATGCCAGAAACTGCCTGAGATGTATTCTATGGCCATCAAAGCTAATGACAAAAGAGGCATTTCTTGAGCAATAACAGTGGGTAATGAGCCCTGTGGGCCAGATGAACCACTGCATCCCAGCTCACTACCAGGGCTTGGACACCCAGAACCCACATCAGCATCATCATCATTCTGAAATGCAGCAAATGGCCACCAATGGCCTAAAGAGGACAGAGGAAGAGACTGGACACCTGCACATGAATAATCATGGCATGATGCCATTGGTGTCACCTCAAGGTGGGCCAGGTGGTGGAGGTGTCAGTAAGGGCCAAGACCCTCAGCCCAGCACCAGTCATCCCAGGGATGGCCAGACAAAAGTTGGGCTGCCCAATGGCAAGAAGACCAAGGGTCGTGTCAAAATCAAGATGGAGTTCATTGATAACAAGCTCAGGCGCTACACTACATTCTCCAAGAGAAAGACAGGCATTATGAAGAAGGTGTGTTGTGAATTTCTTTACTCAGTCCTTTGTACTGTTTTTTTTTTTTAAATTTGAAAGTTCACTGTTATGGACAGTGTTCTTTTCTTGTTCATGTAGGCAAGTGATTATTGTGTGCTTATGTTTCATCTTTGAGGATTTGTGTTGGAATATTCTTGTGTATTATTGTTTGAGCGCTGAAGTAAAATATTGTTACAACAAATACCGTTACAACAAACTTTTCAGTTTTACAAAGCTGTTCCCAATTCATGGCAAAAGGCCATGAAGTGCATTCTAAAACAATCTGATCATAACAAATTCTCCAATTCCAGTAAAAGAACCCTTGTTTGTTCAATGTTTAATAGATTCTCCAGGTAGAAAGTTCCAATCCCAAATGTTACTGCACCTGCAAGAAAATCTGAAAATTACAGAAAAGCAACATCTAAATAATTATAGGCAGATCTGATGTTAAATTTTTTCTAGACATTAATTTTGAAATTCTTCACAAAACACATTATTTGGTTGAAAAAAATTTGGTTGGAAGGTAGAAAAATATTTCATGTATCAAACACTGTCAAAAGGAAAAACCTCAAGTATGACTAGCCTTGTGAAACTGGATGTAAATTTTAATCCAAATAAATAACTTTCTTTTGTATTGCAGTATTTCATATCCTTGTCACCACTGAGAAAAAACACAAGAAAAGTTATAACAGTATATTCCTCGGGCATTCCATGAAATGTATTTCAACTGAGCAGCTGAAGCAATTCATTATTCATACCTAAAATGCATATGTTGCAGCTAGGGCAAACTTTGAAAAATACTTCCCTTCCACATGAGTTCCATTTTTAATCCAAATGTTGATGAACAAGTTATATTGTCCAATGTTTAATCTACAGTACCGACATTTTTATAAAATGATGTCCTGGATTGAGATCACCCCAAAGATTTTTGACTGAAAAACTGCAACATTTGAAAACTTTTCACACTGGAGTCTTAATCTGGACTTGAGTTGAAGCTGATTTGAATTGTTTCCTATTGAAAATAAGTTTTTTGAAATTGGCTGAATATGTTTGATTAGAATCAAGTTTGTAGCATGTGAAGCTTTAAAAACAATTAACATTTTGTACACACCCTGAATTGTTTCCAATAGAATTTTTAGAAAGCAGCAGTGTTTGTGGTACTGGAGTATTTATGTTATCCATTAAAAATCTCAATCAAAATAAAGCACAGCTTTGATCCTTAAAATCCTCACTCTCTTGATCCAACATTTTTGTTCTTTGACTGTGTTCTCAAAAGCATTGCAGTGGAAGCATTTGCTGACTGCTGACTTATCCGGGTTTTTTTTGGTCATGACTAGAAAAACATTTTCACAGTGCTGACTTTATCTGCAGAATCCAATATTATTTTTCAGTTGTTCATTGTCTTGAAAGTTGCTGAGGGCTGCTTTGGTTCAACAGAGATATATGTGGAACTCATACTTCGTCATAAAAGCCCTCACCTTTGCAAACTTTTTTGCACTTCGGCTGCGCAATGAAATGGAATCTTTTGACAAATTGCATCCATCAAGGTTTTACAATATTAGAGCTATTTTAAACAAAATGAAGGAATGCACACCTTTTTAAGAGCCTTTTTGGTGAGTGTTATTCTTATGCTTAAAATTATGTATGGTAGCCAAAATTGACAATATTTCTTTTCTTACCTCAGCATGCATTGAGCAGATAGCATTAAAATAACCAAATGAATCTCTTCCTCATTTTAAACAAAAGCTTATTTTGACAACTGCTCATGCATCAGCTCATTGGATAAGCATTGACTTGAAAGTTAGGAGAGAGGAGGTTCTAATTGGTTTAAACTCGAGAACTTTGAAGCATCCTGAGTCCTAATATTCCAGCACAAATTTTGAGTTATTACCTTTATAATGGAACAAAAAATCATGTAACTACTTTTATGGACAGAAATTTCTCAAGAAAAAGTCACATATCACTCTCACATGTCAGTATAGACAAACAGAAGTTAATTTTTGAAGGACTTGGTTCATTATGCTCAAGAAGCATCAAAGCCAGTATAAACAGTTCAATTTGAGAATACAGTACTTGCTGTCCAAATGTTGAACTTTAAAGTCGATATTTTATGCTAAGAAATTGTCTTTCAACTTATGTGCCCATGGTATCAGATTGATAATTTGATCTCATACATTTCAAATGGCCTTTCTTTACAAGTTTCAGAATCAGTATAGAAACACTATTGATCATGAATAACGTTTTCCAATATAAAATAAAATTCAAAAACTGGAAAAATCACACTTCTGCCTCTGATATTGCTACAGTATAAATCACCAGTTTGTGTAGATCCATTTCCATACCTTTTCCAATTGTAACTTTATTCCAAGACTTGAAGTCATTTCAATGAACAAACCTAATGTATTTGAAAATCATGGAATTGATATTTAAAAAAAAGAGGTCAAGATCATATGAAAAATGCAGCTTCAAAATAAAAGAGGCCTGAACTGTTTTTGAAGAATCTTCCCATTAGGCTTTTTGAGTATAATTTTGAAAAGGGCCTTCATAAGTGTTGGTAGTGAAATAAAGTGAATAGGTTTGAACCCTGGTTCCATTCCCAAATGAAAATAATTCTGGAGCAGGAAAGACATTTTGCTCTTCAAATTCAGCCAGATGAAGAAAAACAGAACATGGCTAAATATTTATATGCCTTGGGCATATTTTTAAATCATGCAATGAAAGCAGCACTACCAAAAAAACTGTATTAAATTTTTAAAAAGTCCTATATGAATTAGACAAACTACCTCAATAAAACTTGATGCTGAATTTTATGACCTGAAAAATTTGGCACAAACGCCTTCAGCACATTGGAAACTTTGAGGTCTCTACTCATCCTGATCTGCCTCATAAATGTAGTCCTTCTGGTTAAGCTAGTTTTTTTAGGAATCCATTCTCATTCATTTTTAACAGAAAACTTCCCCAGAGTCATGCAAATCAACTTCAATGAGGCATGGTTTGTCTTGTGTTTCTGCAGGCATATGAGCTGTCTACACTGACAGGCACTCAAGTGATGCTTCTGGTGGCCAGTGAGACTGGGCACGTGTACACATTTGCCACAAGAAAGCTGCAGCCCATGATCACTTCAGACACAGGAAAAGACCTGATCCAGATGTGCCTAAACAGTCCTGACCCACCATCAGACAGGAGGTGTTTAGCCAATGACCCCAGGGGTCAACCATCTGGTTTTGAAGAAACTGACCTCACCTACTCTGTGGATGACCAAAGGGTAACAATCACTGCATTTACTCTATTGCATGTTGGTTATAGTGTTGCCATACCATCCTTGCAAGCAAATATGCAGGTGTATGCATCAATTCTGCACCAATTGGTGGCACTTCCTGAAAGAAAAAAAGTATTTCATCATGGTCCTAATTTGTGACCAAAAATATATTCAAGTAATGATTCATTTTCAATTTTCTAGAGATGCTTTTAAAACCAGAAATGGTAAGTGTAACTGTTTTGGAACCATAATGAAGAATTTCTTTTGTCAACTTTGGGAACTCAATCAAATAGTAAAGTGCTTTGAAAAACTTTATTGATGCATTACTCTGCAAGCATTACAGTTATTGTATGCCACAAAAACTACTTCAATAATGTTCTTCCTTTATTTACATATGACACATTGGTCATGTTACTAATTTTGCTATTCATCTTTTGTTTCGCCAGAACTTTGCTTGAAATAAAATTGTTCATAGCGTCTGAATAAAGTGCAGGAATAGGAAAGTCCCCACGAAATTTTGAATATTGTGAAAGGATGCATTTAAGGGGGGTTCAAATTTTCAAAAAAATTAATTGAACTATAGTCTTCCAAAACTTGGGAGTTTACTTGATTTTTTAAAGTAGCAATTCATGTCATTAAATATTTTAAAACATGGTAGAGAGCAGTATAAACTTTTTCTGATAATCAAAAAGCTTTAATTATTTTGAAATGTGGAATGACTATGAAAATGGGACATTCAATGTTCTATAACAGAATGTTCTCAGAATTGTGGATAATTCCTCCAATTTAAAAATTGAATCAACAATATTTGAGCACACAAGAATGTAAATTTCCTGAGTTTACTTTGGAAAAGCCAATGAAAAAGAAAGGATGAAGACAGTTTTCAAATAAATATTTTACAAAATTCTCTCCCTCTTCCAAACAAATTACTACCACTTCTCATGTTCTCAACAACCACATTATCAGCTGAATAGAATAAATATTTTACAAAGAGATTTTGACACTCCAGGCTTTTTAGATGAGAAATTAAGCAGATATGAGGTCATTCCTTGTTATATGGGAGAAATTGGGTGGCTAAAGAATTTTTGAAGCACTGTTTTTATAATTATGGAGCAAAAAGAAAAACAAAACTACCAACCTTTGTTGAGGGAAGGTGTCTTTATTTTATTTTTTTCAAGATGAAGAGGATAGTCTTGCCACATGTTTGAAATTTAAGGAACTCCTGCTTCCTTGTTGGTTCTTTATTTGGGCTGCTGGGGGGGACAAGCTTATTCCTATAGAAAAGGAGGGACCAGTGGCAGGTTAAGGCATGTGGCCAAAATTTTTGGCTCCAGCATCACCGTTTTCAACTCTCGTGAACTTCCAGGATGTTCCTCCTTGCCAAATGGCTATTTTTACATCAACATATGGTGTGGTGTGGAGAAATCTCTCACCACAGAAATGCTGGATACCCTTGCTCTGCTCTGCTCATTCCTTTTCTTCCTACAATCTTTTTCAGCCATAATCCCATTTGAGTTTCATGTTGGGAAGGAAAATCTTTTTTCAAAATAACATTCTCTGTTTCCTTGTCTTCATTCTTGGTACAGTTGATCTCATTAATTTCAGTTGTGTGCATCTTTCCATATTCAATCTTACCAGGAATAATAATCCCATTTGAGTTTCATACTGGAATAAAAAAATTATTTTTAAATGCCATTCACTGGTTACTTATGTTCATTTTTCTTACAGTTGATTTAATTTATGTTAATTTTGTAGATGTTGCCATGTTCAATCTTTCCTACGAGAATCACATTTGAGTTTCATGCTGGGAAGGAAAACCTTTTTTTTAAATAACATTCTCTGTTTCCTTGTCTTCATTCTCGGTATAGTTGATCTCATTCATTTCAGTTGTGTGAATATTTTCCATATTCAATCTTTCCAGCAATAATAATCCCATTTGAGTTTCATACTGTAATAAAAAATTATTTTTTAAATGCCATTCACTGGTTACTTGTTTTCATTTTTCTTACAGTTGATTTATTTTATGTTAACTTTGTAGATGTTGCCATTTTCAATCTGTCCTACAATAATCACATTTGAGTTTCATTTTGTGAGGAAAAATCATTTAAAGATGACATTCTCTGTTCCCTCATCTTCATTACTTTTACAGTTGATACAGTTGATCAATTCCTTTTAATTCTGTAAATGTGTCCATATTCAATATTTCCAGGAATACTCAAATCATAGAGTTTTATGCTGGAAGAAAGAAAAATTTTTTCATGCCATCCTCTGTTTCCTCATTTTCATTCTTGTTGCAGTTGATTTAATTCAACTATATTGTGTAGATGTTGCCACATTCAATCCTTCTAGCAATGATCAATCCAGCAATAATCACATTTGAGTTTCATTTTGGGATAGAAGAATATGTTAGAAGTGCCATTCCCTGTTTCCTTATTGCCTTCATTCTTGTTAAAATTGATTTGAATCAATGTAATTTTGTAAATGTTGCCACATTCCCCCAAAAAATGCTCCTTAATGAAGCCAAAGGTAAGTGTTACTTAAAATAGATTCTGGATTTCTGGTTGATTGATGCACATGACCTCTTCTTCTCGGTGATACATGTATTGGAAAAATAGTGCTGAAATTTTTGTATTTTTTCATTTACAGTGCACAGATGACAATGGGCCAGATCAAGACTATGATGATGATGAAGATCAAGAAATGCAAACCTCACCAGGTTGTGAAGAATTGGGAAAAGGGACTGGAGAGAATTTTGAAGACATTGACTCCTTCTGCAGTGGAGAATCAGAAAGGGGAGGTTCAGGTTGGTTTCAAAAAGACCCTAGATCAATAGTAATCAGTTCTTTTTTCTGCCAACAGAAAATTGAACATGAGTAAAAATACCAAATTTAATGTTCCATGAAAAGAAAATGCAGGCTGAGTTTTCATGGAATCAGCCACTTGTGTGATACTGTAACTTGAAAGTGGGGTTTTTTAAATCTTTCTTGAAAGTTGAGTGTGAACATTTTTCAACCCAGTGGCAACCAAAGAAGATTTGCTACAATTTCAAAATTTTCAAACTTCATGCATTCTCATGAATAAACATCATTCTCAGGTTAAACCCCATCAATCAAATTTATAAAAATGATTTAATGTGCTTTTGGTCATAATTGAAAGACCTCCTTCCATATAATGATTTAATTTCACTTGAGTTTTTGTCATATCATGATTCATTGACCCTCTCAGGCAGGATGTTGAAAGAAAGAATAAACCAAAACTATCCTAAATGAAATCTTAGCAATTTAGGAAGTGTTCATTTTTGATATTCGACTGAAAATTCATGCAATTTTTGTTTCTAGTTCATGTTCAGCAAACTTCTCTTTTTCCAGGCTGTGATGCAGGAATTTCAGCTGGGAGCAGTCGTCGAAGTTTTGATTTCAAGAAGACTCCTCCAGGTACTTCCTCAATTACAAATTGTTCAAACTCTGTCAAAGTCTTCCATGAGGGGTTATGCCACATTATAATTATTTCTTTCAACACTTTAATCTCCCATTGAAGACTGCATCTTTGATGGAATGAAACATATCTTAGGATATGTGTAACGATTGATGAGTCAATGTGTATAAATGTGTCTCATGCAAAACATGTGTTATTACCCAAGTTTAGCAGATTTTTTGACAGGTGATTGTCTCTGGTCATGTAGAATATTTTTAACCTTCCTTGTGGACTTTTCAGGACATTCAGATAAAGGTTGTATTTTTTAAATTCAGATTTCCAATATTTGAATTTGTTTCTTGTTCTTTGTTTCATTTTTCCTTGGAGTTCACGCAATTAACATTTCTGGTTCCTATTAATCAGGAATTGAGCAATTGTAAATTTCTTTGACCCTTGAAACTATTTTCTAATCATATTCAAGCTGATAATCTGCACTATTCCAGAAGTAAATGTAGCTAGACCTAAAGCCACAAATAGTTTTTCCTCATGCAATGGTTCAAAACATAGTAAAATGGTTCAGCTCTTAACCACCTGAATCAGGTTGCTGTTCTGCAGTGGATACATTTGCATTTCTTTCTACTTTTTGACAGGATTGCTGCCAATTTCTGGGAAGACTGTGTTGCAAGCTGGTTCAGAACTTAGGAATATCAGTCGCCAATTTGCAGGTGGTAGCAGCATTGGGGCACCAAAATCAGGAGAAGATGGCCAGAGGAACAGGACTGCTTCTAGCCAAGATGCTGAACCCAATTCCGGGGGTTCAGGCTCTTACCTGATACCCACCAGACATGGGCTGGTGTATACTACAGAGGATGGTCAGGAATATCTTCTTCCCATCGCATTAGGTATATTAAAATGGAAAAAAGGTCTGGCATAGCTATTGAAAAAATCTATAAACACAGAAGGTTTTCATCTCGAATTTTTGGAACAATTACATTTTGATTCTTCAGCTGCTAAAGCCAAGAAATTCACCTTGTAAACTGATCCAACACAATTAATGTGGCTTTTAGGGCTCTTGAAGGTTTAAATCATTTCCCTAATCCATTTGAAGAAGCATAGAAAATACTTTTAGTAGATATTTGGAAAGTGTATTTGTTTTGTCTTTTGAACAATTCAGTATTTCATTAGTTGCCAACATATTTAAATGAATGGAATGTAGATGACTTCTTTTCAAACTTCAATTTTTCTTTTGAGACACTGGAACATCCTCTGAAATTCAAAAAATGCACCTCAAAACGGAAAATGTTTGCATTTGAAAATTTCTTTGAGGATTTTTCAAATCATAACATGATGCTAGCTTTAAAAAAAATGAAATGGCAAAAGGCATAACTTTGGAAGAGCTCCAATTGAAGCTATGAGGACATTACTCAATCTTGGTTTTATTTTTTATTTTTTGCACAGGTTCCTCAAGACTGACCACCTCAAACTCATCTGGTGCAAAAGGGAGTCAAGAATCTGCTAAAAATTGACTTGGGCATGTCAGAACATGGAGGATACAACTGTAATGTTGTTACCAACCTTTTTGGAGTTCTTCAGCAGTCATGCTTGTGTTCCTGTTTCAGATTTTGGTGCAAGGGAAATGAGCTAAAAAAAATAGTTTCTTTACAAATGCTGTTTTTTGAGGACTGATGAGTTATGCATAACTTTATTCATTTGTCATACCCCAAAGATATTCCAGAATTAAAGTTATATTTTCTAACTGAACATGGAAAATGGTTCCTGGTGAGATGACTAATAAATTTCATCTTCTCTTTCACCCTGATAGAGTAACTTTAGAAGTCCAATTGTGTTCAAATATTAGACTGAAACTGGTCAGGAGTAAGTGGAACCTCTTGGGTTAAAACTGTGGCTTTGGTCAGTTAATGTGAATTTCTAGTCAGTGCCAATTTTCCATTGCTCAAATAGTCTGAGTGCAGATTATATTGGTCAAATTTTATGTTGGAATGTTGAGTTTTGAAACCAAAGAGCACAAAGTTTGAGCTTTTGAACCTTGGAATCTCTGAAGATGTTAGACTGACAGAGATTGAATGTTAACCATGGGCATGTCAAGTTCAGACACCCACACAAAAGTTATAATCAAATGGGGTCCATTCAATCATACCTTCTTGTGTAACATTTTAAATGTTTTCCATAAAAATAATGCAGTATTGGATCATATTAGCGATATTTCCCAACTGTAGGTTTGACTCACCCAAGCAAGAAGGTCTGGTTGAGATGATCAGGATTTGAGGGTGCTCATGATTGGAAAGTGCATGATAGCTATAACTTGCTGATATCTAATCATCCTGGAAGGTTCTTCTGAAAAATGTTGGGACATTAGAAAAGATCAAGCTTTTTATATTATAGGCTTGATGCAATTTAAGTTTTTTCAACATTTATTGTATTCTGCACATTTAATTCCAACCAAATTTCTCATTTTGGAGTTTTTATGCCAGAAAAAATCTAACAGTCCTAGAAGTTCTAAATTTGATTTTTGTTAATCTGAAGATTTCCTTTTGAAATTTCAAGTGTTGTCAAGAACTTACTTCCCAATATGGATCAATGGATGATTTCAGAAGTTTCTTATGAAGATAAAAATAAGTTCAAGCTGGCCCAGGATCATTTGAAACTGTTTGTTCTCGACTTTATCTGGGGTAATCATCATCCCAATCATTCAAAAACAACAGTAGCATTGATGTAAGCACACCTTTATGGAAGTTAGGCTTTTTATTGTGTGTTAGAACCTGCTTCTTCATTTTCTTCACTTCAAATGTAGAATTTTTTGCTAATGTTACCCAAGAGTGTGGCTCATTTCAAGCCACACAAGTATTTACTAACTTGAAAATGTGCCTACTTTAATCAAAGCCATAATAACCAATTTGTACTTCTTGAAAATATTAAGGAGACCACACATTATTTCTTGCTTTCATATGCTTCATGTAGCTCTTTTTTTTAAATTTCTATCACAAAATCCATACAAAAATTGCTGTGATACCCCCAAATGAACCTTCAGTACCATGTTCGGCATCTGGGTATTTTTTTCTAACCCTGGCTGGTTTCTGATGCCTACCATTTCCACCATATTGAAAAATGTATATGTCTTTGTGAGCTTGCTTATTCAGTTTTTCCAGTACTTCAATTTGTTTCCAGTTATTCTTGAATGCAAAATTAAACCATTTTTGATGACCCTGTTATTCCAGCAAGCCATTCACCAGTGCTTGGTGCAAATAAGCACCCGAATGGCATGCCGGAATTTTGAATTGTTCAAAGTATTTTGGGCATTGTTGAACTTTTCCTTTTTTGTTTGAGCAAATATTCATGACTAAATTGGAAATACAGTATTGCACACCTCAAGTTTTTTTTCTGGTGGTGGATTCAAGACACTTCAGGAAGTTGAAGTGGAATTTTAATCATTTCAATACAACAGTACATTGCAAAATTCTGTCAGTCCTAAAACCATGCCTGAGGAGTTGACTGATCTTACATTTAAATAGGTGCATTTTTGTAGCAATAGGTTTTCCATGAACCAGTTCCTTGGTATGATGTTTACCCAACTGTTCACTGGCATCAGTATGTTATGTACACTGACTTCAGTAACAATATTGCATGTGCCATGTTAATTGGAACAATAAGACCCAGGCTATGCAGTCTATTTTTATTGTGTTCACATGTGCAGAACTGTGACTGACTTTTGGAGAAAAGGTTACTTCAGAATTTGCAAGTTTTAATTATAATTCAAAAGCTTTTAATGGATTTTTGGTTGATTTTTCCATTGACAGGTTATTTACTGCTGTTTGCTGGCTTTGCAGCTTTATTACATGATGGTCAAATTCATGTGGATATGAATGTTTGTCCACAAGAACTATTTTCAGAAGTTAGTGCCTTGCCCTGAAGTGTCCTTATGTAGGTGTCACCACTTTTGCTTCATGACATTGTTTTGATGCATATGTCTTGGGCATTTGTAATGAACATCTATATGATCCAAATGTTGTTCTTATTCATTGTCAAGTGTTTTTATAAACTTATCTCTTAATGTGTAAAGTATGAATGAGGTTATCCCTCATATTCCCTATTCAGATAAGAAGGTTTTCAAATCAAGAATTAGGTGGAGACACAAGAAGTGGAGCAAAAAATTTTGACTGGCTTGGAGAAGAACTTATTTGGAGCAGTGTGATTTCCATTGGATTATATCTCAAATTGAAAATTTTGAACAGTTTGTATCAAGGGGATAATATTTTTGGACAATTCAGAACCAGGCCAATATGAGAGAGAATATTTTCAAGAAAGGGAAAATTTCGACAAAGTAAAAAATGCTTTGAGACAGAAGCATTTTCGAAATGACTTTCCTTGATTGCTGCCTTATATCTTTTATTGCAGGTGTGAAAAGGAACAGAAATTGCACTGTCCAGTCTCAAATTTTGTGTATTAAATTGTCCATCTCACCTTTTTTCAAATTGTCTTGAATCTATTGCTAGCATCAGCAGCTGATGCTGATGTTAGCGATATTACCCAGAGTGGTTTCAGTAACAATATGGACAATTCAACTTCCACTATTTTTTGTATCCAAATTTTTCTGTTACAGCACCTAATATGGTTTTTTTTAATTCCATAAAATTATAGAGAACAATCTATTCCTGAATTTATTTTCAGGATTTCAACATAGTTTTTCTGGAGCATCTGGTTCTGGTGCTTTTCTCCACTTATGAATGAAAAGATATGTAATTAATACATACATGTGCAAAGCATATACATATATTCAACAGAAAATATGCCAAGAATGAATCTAAATGAAGGAAGTATAATAGTTCAATAAAAGACAGCATAACAATTTTTGCAACAACAAAAACTGCAAAGTCCATTTTGTAAATCATAGTCTAGTCACTAGGAAAGCAACCAGTGCAATGATTGATGCATAAAACGAGCTTTTAAGAGTCATTGCCGAATTGCACAAGTCTCTGGAACAAATGCAGACTTTGACATCTGGTAATGATTTGCAATCCCCAGCTTTCGGTGGATTTTCTGCTGTCCACAAGCTGGTGCTGATAAGGTCTGCTTTGGTCACTCCTCCTCTAAGGTAAGCATCTGTGCAAAAAAATAAATCAGACACTGTTTCACATGTGGCAATTTATACTTTCAGATTATTCTGGAATTATTCAGCATTCCCACAAATCAAGCTTCCAGTCAATGCATATGTTTAGGTTGGAATGGGTCCTTGGGTTGAAGAACTCATTGGTTCCAGACAAAAGTTGGTTAACTGAATTTGATTTTCTCATAGGTTTCAATGGGGATGAATTTAATCCATTCTGTGAGCCCAAAAGACAATTGAACATTGAATATAAAAATTTCAAGACCATCAACTATATACTGTAATCAGAATAAGTTTTTGTTGCATCTCATATGTGCCCAGAATGTTTTTATTCTTTTAAATTAAAAATGTGTAAGTACAGCACTAATGAAAAAGGTTCACATCCAGAGAAACACACACTGAAGGATAAATGTCCAGTTGAAATGCAATTTCTTTTTTCAATTCTGCAAATAGACCTTTTTCTAACAATTGAACACCTAGAAAAACCAAGCACAGAAAAGTAAGAAATTCTGTCTCATGAAAGAATATGCATAAAGTAGCTGAAATAAATTTTAAAAACAAGATAACACATATTAAAGTTCCAGGAGGAAGGAATTTTCCTATCAGTGCATATAAAAGGGGAATTATTTGCACTTGGATTGTATCATTAATATCAGCCTCAAAATTCAATTTTGATTTTTCAAATTTGGAATATTTCCCGAGAAAAAAGTTGGGTAGCCAAAATTGTGTTATCTTAACTGAGGAATTTTTCAAGGATAAAACAAGTTTGTAAACCAGGGGTCCATTGCATATTGAATTAATTTATACCTCATGCTGATGAGAAACCCTCAAAATAAAAGGCTTTCAGTCCCAATTTCTGAGTTTAAAATTCCATCACAAATGAACCAAGAAAGACAAGAAAAAGGTCAATGAATTTGGTACAGTACCTTTAAATTTGGCTTCTGCGCAAAATCCGTCAGTGGGTAGTTGATATTTTTCCCAGTCCTTCTTGCCATTTCCTGAACATTCTGGCAATTTTGACACATCAATGCCCTGTTCTCCACTTGAAATATCAATTCCTGTGATGTCGATGCCTTTGTCCAGGCAATAATAACAGTCTGGTTGCTCAGCCCCATTTGCAAAATCTGTTGCAAATTTTGAAAAAGATGACAAAATAATTATGAATGATGAAGGTAGAATTGAATTGCTGTCCAAAACTCACTGGAAAACATAATGTGGAGCAAAAAGAGTGCACAGAAAATTGGTTTCATTTTTTCTTGACTTATTTTCCTGCTGAATGTCAAGTTTATCACTGAAATTTGAGAAGGATTCACTACATTCAGAGTTCCTTGTACGCTATCACATGCAGTAATGAAAGATCCCACAAAATATATATATTCCTTTCTCCTTTTTCTGATAAGAAGACCCCAAAAGATAAAAGGTAAGTGAATACCCTATCTTATCCCAAAAAGGGATGTTATCTATGTTCTCAGTGACTCAAATATGATGATTGGTTGCATGATCAAGCATATCAGCTTTTGTCTTTGTGCTATGATTCAGAGAAGTATACTTCACTGGAATCTTCAACTCACAGCACTCAAATGTCAATGATTGAAATTGATAAATACAGGCCTTTTAAAAAGGCTCACTTCTGAGAAATTTCAACCCCTCAGCATATGATCAGCTCATCTATGGGTGGACTATTGATACAATGAAGTTCTACTTATAGGGAACAGGAAAAAGTTAATGTTCGAAAGGATTTTTTTGTAGATAAACCTTTCACCATAGGGAGAAGGGTGCCTTTTGGGTCTGGTTCAGGATCATGATTTATCTTGTTCATGCATTCAGACCCCATGAAGATCCCCTTGGATTATGCACCACCCTCAACAGCTCATCTCAATATTTTGTACTCAGTAAATCTCATATTGATGTAAAAACAAAGGAACCATGATCAGCCAACATTATTGGCAAAACAAAAGAGCTTTTTATTCCCAGCGCTGTTTTCAAACTACCTGTACTAATACGGTATCGGAATAGACTTGTACTTCCTTGATTTTGCATTTTAAGAGAAGGAAATGGTTTTTTAAAGTGATGATTGATTGCCTATACTTTCTATCACTGTGATGGAGTTTATTTCGGCAAGAAAAATATGTCAGTGATGCTTTTTTGTCCATTTGAAGTTTTACAGGAACATATACACCTGCAAGCATTATGAAAAAAATTACATTTAAAAACTCATTGGAAAATATTGCAAAAAATCCCGTTTTGTTCCTTCAATCCTAATAATCCTTTCCACAATCTAGTCTTGAATACTCAACAATAAAACCTTTTCCTTTAAACTATCTTCTATGCATTCCTTCTCATTTTCGAAAATCAGTAAGTGGTGCATCATAATTTTTTCCCCACTCTCCCCTTACTTCCCCCATTTTTCGTTTCAAATGTTCCACAGTTGGAAATAGTTGCCAGTCTTTACCTGTCTCTATTAGAGGCCGGGGGAAATACTGAAAATGTTGCATAAATTCCCGGGCATTTATTGGAGCATATACGGTATGTGTGTATGTAAAATTGTTGGAGGTGTACCATACACTCCACAGTACAGTACAATACTTATATACTTTATATTCACCAAAAAGAACACTTTTAACTAGTAGAAAGGATTCTTGAAGACAAGATAACTTAGTTATGGCAGAAACATTACTGTCAGGCCGATTGATGACAAATAAAAGTAGAGAGAAGGAAAAGACGCAGTCACTCAGCCTTTAACGGCCGGATCCTCTTTAGCAGAGTCCCTTTAGAATAAGCAGCTTTATCCACACACGCATAAACCACAGAAGGATACAAGGTACCTAGAGGTACAAACAATCGCGCTAGGATGCAAGTATGAATTCACAGTCAGGTAAATCCACAAGCTCTCAGTTGCAGCTCTCGAGATGTAATGTTCTTCTCCCGAAGCCCCGAAGGCTTCGGGAGCCGGCGTTTGCTGCCGGAAATGATTATCTTTGTTCTTGACCCGGTTTACCGCAATGCGGTAAACCGGGTGCCCTATCCGCTTCCGGGTTGGCGTGCAGGTGTTGCTGCGCGGTATACCCAAGCGAGGATGCTACGCTCGGGTTGCCGCGTGGACGCAACCCCACAAAATCCCCCCCCTTTGGTTGACGACGGCCAATAGGTTGGAGACGGCCAAAGGACCCCAAGACGGGGTCGCGTAGATGTCGCTGGTGGTCGGGGGCCTGGGGATCTGCGGGTGCGGTGGCACCGGGGGACGCGGAGCATCCTCGACCGGTCCGGGTCCCAGAAATGGTGGCGCGCAGGCGCACCGGGGGGTCCTGCTAAGAAAAGGAGAGGTTTGTCATTCGAGTCGGGATCCCGCCAGGGGCGGAAGTCCATAATTGCGTCAAAAGTGCAAAAAAGTGTTGTATGTTAGTCCAGTGTCAGAAAAGTTCATATCAGAAGGCAGAGGACCAGTGTCGGCGATTGTTGTTGTTGACGAGCGTCATTGTCCTTGTTCGGCGTGGTGCGTGGCACGAATTCGGCAATCTGGTCCGGCTGCGCATGTGTTGTCGCGTTGGTGGGGGCCTCCTGCGGAAAATAGAAAAGAGAGAGACGTGCCGGCGGTCTTACCGTCATGTCGCTGGCAGAGCAGCCGTCGGGGTGCCTGTCGCGATTCGTCGGAATGCGAGGCTGGCCGTGTCGTTAAGAGCTTGGCCCCCTGTCTTGCATGCGCATCTCAAGGGCTGCAGGAGCCCGAGGGATCCAGTGTGCACCGGCGCGAGGCGACGCGGTGATTCCATTTTTTGTATCCGCGTCAGAGGCGGTGGGTCTAGCTGTGGTTCTTTCTTTTTGTGTGCTCCAGATCCAATCGACGCGCATACCAAAATCGAAAAAAAAAGGTGCAGCAAAAGATCGCGAGAGTAAGAAACAAACGAGAAGGTCTGAGAAAAGCAACGGCAAGCGCGTGAGATTGCGCGAAGTCGAATTGGTTTCCATCAAAGCCGTGTGCCACAACAAAAAGGAGGAAAAGGAACGACGTGGACTTTGCCGGTTGGAAGATCATGGACGGCGGACAAAAGCGCAAGCACAGCGGGGATCCGCCGGCAACGCCAAAACGTCGGGCGTCGGAGGAGGACGTTTTCGAGTTAAGCATGTCCGGTAAGTGGCTCCATCGTTGTAACCGTGGCTTATCCTTGAATTTTTGGTTTTGGTGGCGTGTTACAGAGGACGCCGATGAAACCCCACCTGATCTGGTGATTGAGGAGGTAGTGGAGGCCGGAGCGTCGTCCGGGGCGGCGGTCGAGGTTGCCGTCGAGGCGGCCATCGAGGTCGCCGTTGAGGCTGCCGTAGCGGCGGCCATTGAGGCAGTGGAGGACGCGCCTGAGGCGGGGGCGTCGGCGGTGCCGGCTGTGCGGCTGCCCAAGGTTGTGGAGGCGAATGCCTCTGTGCTGGCTGGGCTGACAAAGGGCAGCTGGCAGCACCTCGTGGCGCTAATGCCCATGGCGGCGTCCGTCGAGACTGCGACGGCGCACCGGCTGTGCCTGGAAGACCAATTGCGCCGAGAGACTGCGGCTGCCGAGGCGGCGCACCAGCATCTGAGCTCGGTCGAGGCGTCGGTACAGGGGATGACAATAGCCGTGGAGGTAGCGGAGTCGTTCTGCCGGCGGCTCCGCTCGGCGGAGGCGGAAACCGCTGTGCGAGAACAGGACTTGAGGCGGCGCGTTGCGGCGCAGTTCCGTGTTGCAACGCGCGTGGCTCTGCGCAGTCTGGGGCAGGCGTTTCCTGCCGGCGGGCAGGTGTTCCTGCAGGACGAGGACGTTGTGGTGCGACGGGAAGGTGAGTGCCCCGCCTGCTTAAGCAGCAGTATGCTGCAACTAATGCAGTGGCTGTTGGACACAGGAGCTCTGTGGATGGCGCGGATGGCCACGACACCAAGTGTCGAATTCGTGTGGGGGCCAGCAATGGACGTGGTGCCGGCGTGGTACGCCGGAACGCGTTCAGAAGATGCCCCACGGGTTGCTGCGATCAAGGCGGCTGCTGCCGCGGTTGTTGTAGCTCCGCGTGCAGCGGAGGCGCCTGCAGCGCCATCTCGGCGCCTATCAACGCTGCGCCGAGAATCCTCGGCGATGGTCAAGGACAAGGCGGCTCCGCCGTCGCGAGCGCCGGTGCCTGAGGCGGCGATGTGTGGCGATGATCTGGACGTCAAGATGTTGGACGCTCCTCCAAGTAAGTGTGTACAGAGATGGTCGGCAAGAGCTGATGTAACACCTGGTATGTTTGTTGGGCTGCGCAGTTGCAGATGTGCCGGAGGCAGAGCACTTCGAAGTGCTGACGGAGACCTGGCGTTTTGAGCCAGAGGAGCCGATGGTGTACGTGCGAAACGTACGTGAGCGGCAGGGTGCTGTCGGCGATCGGTCCTGCTTCATGCGGAGCTTCCAGCTGCCGACGCCTGGCTGCACGGTCGCCGACTATCGGTTCTGATGCGTCCAATACTCAAGAATCCCACCAGTGCCGCGGGGCTTCAGCAATGGCCAAAAGTGCGTGCTGGTCATTGGGGATTTGTTGTTGTCAATGTCGCGGATCACCTGGGAGCCGTACTGCTTTTTTGGTCGGATCAGCTCGCGTTCGAATACGCCGCAGCCGGTCTTCGACTACTCGTACTTGACAGAAGATCTGTCGTTCGAGGTGTTTCAGGTGAGTCCGGGGATGGGCATGGGACGTGACAAGGCTGTTCTAAACAGCGGTTTGCATTTTTCGCAGTGGAGCTTGAGCGGGTTGGCCGCTTTATGTGGCCGGAACGCTATTACGCCGGCAAACCTGCGCCAGCGGGTGTGGGCGGATCTGAGCTTGCCCGTCAACATGGAGTTTGTCGCGGTGCTGGTCCGCATCGGGACGAATGACATCAAGTTCCTTGTGTCGCGGACGGGACCCTGCCCGTTCTCGTCTTTCTCGACGTTCTTCGCGCAGTTGCGGATGTACCACGTGGACCTGACAGATGCCTTTGGCTGCCCTGCGTTTGCTCTGGGCGCATTGCCGCCGTCGGACGAGACGGATGAGGATGCGCATGCTGTTGTGCATGGACAAGATGGATACCCGGTGTTGCCGGTGCAGGCCCGGCAAGGTCCGACGACAGTTGCGCACCGCATGCACGCGGGTGGACTGATGCTGGCTGTGAGGAATGAATATAAATTTCACTTGTAAATTAATAGAAATAAAACACCTCAATCAGCCGAGCTGCGGCTGGGGTGAATTACACCCTAGTTTAATGTTGGTATATTTCGGAGATGGAAAAAGTACAAGTCCGAATCTTCCGAATAAAGCACAAGTCCAAAAATACTGGCCATACGTACAGCCACGTGGGCCTGCAAGGTACGCGGATGACTGCCCAGCTGCAGCGCGCCGGGCTCCTACAAGTTGGAGCCATCATCATGCATGCCGGCCATAGGATGGTGGTCGTGGAGACGACGGCCCATGGCGCGTGGGTCGTTGGGGTGTTAGGCAGTGTTTTCGTACCTTATGCGCTGAATCGTGTGCGTTTTACGCGGCGTCGTGATGCTGACAACGACGGTTGACAGGTTCGTGTCATTGAGTTGTTTTTTGTTTTTGTTTGAAACGGTAAAGACCGTATTGTACAAACTTGTGGGCCGCACTTGCACTTTGAGGGATGGGCCTTTGTGATGATGTTTTGATTGGTCCTGTTGATTGCTTCCCGCCTGTATTGTTTGGATTCCCAACCCCCGTGACCGCGATCCCTTAGCAAACTGCGCTGTGTTCTAAAAATGTGAACCGTTGGTGATTTTTGTTTATGGTTGAGTGCTTGATGCACTATTGGTATTGTTCGTCGGAAGGCATTGTTCCTGGGAGTTCGTTTTGCGCAAACGCGTGTGGTGCCCGAGTAGATGGGTGGGTTGGTCTGGTTGATCTTGGTGCAGCCACTCTTTTGTTGTTGCGAGAAACTGATTTGGTGATGAATTGCGAATGCGGGTCTGTATTTTGGATGGTGATAAACTTCGTTACTCCGCATTTTCTGGTGTTCGCTCATTCATTCTTCATCCAGGTACAGGTTCTGAAGCGCGTACAGGAGGTCGTCGTTGTCCTGCTGGACACTGTGCACTTGCACATCCATTGGTTCAGGGACGGGCCATTGGGGGGGTGGTTGACCGGGTGGAAGGAATTGCGGCAGGG